GCCGGCGGCGCGGCACTCGTCGCGTCTGTTTCCGGCGCGCTCGCGTCCCCGCTCCGCCGCGGCCGGGGGAGGCGACGCAGGCGGCCGCCGCGCAGGTAACGGGCCGGGCCGCCCAGCAGCCGCCCTCTCTCCCCTCTCCCCTCTCCGCCGCTGCCTCGCTGAGCGAGCGGGGCCGTCCCGCCCTCCCGGCGGGCCCCGCTGCCGCCGGGCCGCGGCCCCTTCCGCCAACGCGGGGCTGTTCACTCTGGAACCGACTGGCGGCAGCGCCCGATTGGCGGGGCCGCGCTCGTCGCAGGCAGCTTGCCGCCTACGTGCGCGCGTTTTGATGTTTCCTTGTCGTGTTTTTTTTTTTTTATTTTCGAGCAGAGACCCCGTTTCTGGCAGAGGAGGACGGCGCGCGCCCTGGGTTCGGTTCGGCGACCCGAAGTCGGCGTCGCGGGGGTCTGCTCTCGAGTGGAACTCCGGCCTCCCGCCCGCCGGGTTTCCCGCCTCTTCGCGCCGCGGATGGGCGCGCTGCTGAGATGACGGATGACGCGTACTGTCAATTTGCTTTTTTTAAAAAAAAAAAAGATGGTTGGAAGCAAGCCAAGCTTCTAAATTTGTTTTTGGTAGTTCTTAGCTACTCTAAGCAAAACCTGCGTTTCTTTCTCGCGTCTTGAAGAATAGGAGGCGTGTAAAAATAAAAGGGAACCCTGAACAGCCGTATGAGGAAAGCAGTGAAACAGATTGAGGGTAGTGTTGTCAATTTACAGTCGACAGAGGTAACAGCTACTGTAATTTTCTGTAAGCTTGAGCCTCACTTGCGCAAGTATGCAGGATTTGTCAGAATTAAGTGACCTTGAGTTGCTGTTGCTGTGATTTATTGATTTGTATAGATTATTTTGTACTCTGCATAGGCAATTTATTGTGACTGGAAGGAATAGAAGTGACCAACCACAACTGTGTAAATGTGGGAAGCTTTTAATTTTCTTTATATTTTTTTAGTCACGTGCTGGTTTACAAGCGTAATTACTCTTGATGTCTTTGTCATGGTATCACTGCGGTGTATGCTGTTGACACCTCGCTAATAATAAAAAGTGCTGTTTGTAGAATTGTAGAGATGCTTAGGAAAGGCACAGTGTGTGTTGTGATGTATCTTGAAGGGTGTTTCAGCTTTTGTTGGATGCGAGTTCAAAGATAAGCGTTATATATATTTTATGTTGATTGAGACACCTGTACTAACTTCTCATTTTCTTTCAGGTACCTCATCAATACCTTGCAGAGGCAATGGAGGCAATGATGCAAACTCTGTTGTAATTAAAACATAAGGAAAAAAATATTTTTAGCCGTACAATACTCTTTCAGTATCATTCAATGCCTAACATTTCAGAAGATGAAAAGGAGAATGGTGCTGGAAATAATGGAAACGCTGAAAACAAACCTGGGAAAGAATCCCCGGAAGCTTCTCTTTGTGATCCCGTGAAGCCATACTGCATGTCAGATGCCTCCACTGTGTCCTTGGTGTCTAGGGGAGATGGGCATTATCCATGGGGATGTCCTGTAACTCATACACGAGAGAAATTTTACACCATCTGCTCAGACTATGCTTTTTTAAACAGAGTAACATCTATTTGTAAAAGCCCAAGTGCTTCAGTTAGTGCCTGCCTGTCAGGCGGTGCTGCCTTAAACGTTGGCAATAACACACCTAGCTTGCTCGGCATTCGAACTGGTGCTTCAGAGATCATCTACAGTGAAGATGCTAACTTGGAAAGCTTGCCTGGCGATCTTGGAAAGCTTCCACTGGCATGGGAAATCGACAAATCAGAGTTCAATGGCGTGACCACAAATCTGAAGAACAAAGCAGGTGAGGTGGTGAAGATTGAATGTGGTAGGAAAAGGCTTCTTGTTTACAGCTTGCTTGTGGAGGGGACTGGTCAGCCCATGTACCTCTTGAGGAAGTGCTATAGAAGAGCCTGTACGTCATTTCAAACAACCGGCTCATTGGGAAAGGAGGGAGTGAGTTAGCGTGAAAGTCAGGTGGAGCTGCCCGGGGAAGTGGCTCTAAAACAAGGCTGGCTTCTGCTTAAGTGTGTGGGGTTTTTAGGTATTGTTTGGGGTGGCTTCTTGTTTGTTGGTTTTGTTTGGTTTTTTTTTTTTTTTCCTGGGGCTTTGGGGGTGTTTTTTTCTTTCTTTTCTTTTAGTAGGACCTAGTGCATTGTGCAGTGATTAGTTTACCTGTTAAGTACAGGTTTTTCACTCGCAGAAATGTTTCAAGGTACTTCAGAGGTGTATTTTGAAATTAAAGATGTGGTTTATTTATGTGAAGAAGTAAATGAAATCGTTACGGCTTTCTAGGAAAGCAGTTCATTTCTGTAATAGAATTCTATTTATTTTGATTTGCTATATGTATACAGTGTCAGGGAGCCCATTTCTTTAAAACTGGCTTCTTTGCTGCCTCCTGTGTTCTTTCTCTGCCTAGTCACAGATTGCAACTGTGAATCAAGCACTTGCATACGCACTTGGTTTTCTTTGTCCTGTAATCCCCCTGCTTACTTAGAGTGGGCTGTTGATTTTTTTCTTAATGGCTTGGCTAGCTAGTCAAATTGCTGTTTTCTCTACCTTAGTATGAAACCAGTTTAGCAAAACTT